TGGCATGAACAGAGGGTCAGGCCCAGATAGCCTTTTCTGAAGCTCTAGCGCCTCAAGGGGTTTCAGCCCGAAGCGGTCAGTATACCAGTTGGACAGACTTTGCCTTTATTTTTCAATAAAATCTTGCACATGAGGGTGAAGGTATGAGGCAGCCAGGAATCATCATTGAAGTATCACTCATGAGGGTGACCAGTGTCATGTCATTGTCGCCGTGCATTTCCTAGCTCGTTTTCTGAGGTGGTCCACAGTGGTGGAGGAAAACGGTGACGCCTTCGTTGATTCCATCTCCTTCTCTGTGTGTGGAGGAAGGATCCTGGAGCTTGAATCCAGGACCTCCCGTCTTGCGTAGCGTTCTCATTCAAGGATGGTGCTCAGTCACCTGAACCACACCTCCACGTCCAGTATTTTGTTGGTTAATTAGAGGCAAGAGTCTCTCAGCTTTGTCTGTCAGATCCTCTAGTCTTAGCCTCTTGAGTAGCTGGGATTACAAGCTTGAGGTACCGGTACCTGGCCACTCCCTCTTTTAATGGGTGAGAGCCAGCTATGTAGCACCCCCCCCCCCCCCCGTTTTTGGTCTCCGAGCCTTGTCTTTTCACTGGATATGTCCATTTGCCACCAAGCTAGGCGGCTTTGTGCCGCTGGTGTGGTATCCAGAGCGCTTTGAGGGCTCAGGGAGCCTGGCCGCTGAGGGGGGGGTGGAAAGGAAGGAGGTTCTTCCTAGGAATTGTCCTATTGCAGTGAACCCTGAAGGCCAAGACACTGGCTGATGTCTGTGTTTGCACCCCACCTGGGCTTCCCCGACTCCTAATCTTGGAGATAAGCAGACCCCACCCACCTTCTCTGCCATTGGGGTGGGATCGCAGCGGCTGCTTGTGAAGACCATCACCTGTCCAAATATTCTCCCTTGGGTTCCCAGCAAGGTCAGCCTGCAGCCCGGCAGCCCAGCTAGGGTTTAGAATTCAGAGTGAGGCTGCAAGCTGCAGATCTGTCCCCATTGGAGCAGCGCAACTGCATCCTTCCTCATATAAACCAGACTTCCTTCTCTTGGTGTTGGAGCCTGCCATTGCAGTCCAACTGAGTGAATCCTGGTTCTTTTTCCTCACTGTGTGAACTTGCAAAGACTAGAGAGCCAGTGGGAGTTGCAGATTTCCCTTGTGTAAAATGAACGCGGTGCATGGAGTAAGTCTGTCTCATCTGTGCCTGTATCACGTGGTTCTGATGACATGCAGTTAAAAATGAAGACATTCAAGTCAAAAGAAATGCCCCCCCCCAAAAAAACCCCAACAAAACCAGACCAAACCCTTAAATCTCTGGGTGTGCGTGGTGCAGCTCAGTTGCGGCTCAGGAGCTCTGGGTCCCAGGTTGCTGCCAGTTGCGTTTAAATCACTGTGTGACCTGCGGAGTGCTGCCCTGCCCTTACCTGTGTGAACGCTGGCCTCCCCCGACGCAAACGGTGTCCCTAAGGCAGAGGCCAAGCGCTGTGCTGAATGGAAGCAATCCAGACTGTAGCTGACGAGAGCTGAGCGCCGTCGAAAGGCTGCCTGTCTTCAGCGGAAGTCGGGCAGCACTCTGGGGGAAATGAAGCGAGCGTCTGAGCACTTACTGATGAAGAGCCAGGAATAAGACTGAGCTTTTGGTGGGCAGTATAATGTGCACAACAGTAATTTTCTGGGACGGTGATGTAGACCACGACACGCAGCTATTCCGACTTACGGATGCTCAGATCTGCTCTACCTGTGAGACAGCACACCGGAGTGATTTAAAGATCCTCAACCCTCGGCGTCCGGAGCACCAGTGTCCTTCCTCTGTCCCACGCAGACCCCAAAGGCCCACCGGGCCTCAGAGAGTGGCTCTGAGACTTGGAGGAGATCATTGGATAGATTGCCTGGAACAGTAGGGACTCATATTTCTCCTTAGCAGAACTGTGAGTCACCTAGAATGGGTCATCAAGAATAGTTTAGGGATTCTTTGAGATTATATATATATATATATATATATATATATATATAATTATTATTAAGGTGATGCACAGAGGGCTTACCATTTCACAAGTCAGGTAATGAGTACATTTCCTTTTTGGACAATGTGACCCCTTCCTTCCCATAATTTCCCCCTCCCATCCCTGCCCACAAGTTACATCGTGCATTTTCCACATAGTGAGCATAAATAAGGCTTCTTGTAGGCCATTTCTGTGGTCCTTTATGCTATGGTTAAACTCTTTCGACCCACACAGAGCACAGAGTACTTGCGAGAGAGGACTGGTACGTCTTATTATCTCACAGGATAGACAGTACGGACGGTTAAAACTGGGTGAATCGGTTCTATCAACTATTTAAAAGATAGCTGATGTTATTCAGCCTTAAAAGGGAAGGGAATTCTAATACATAGCATAGATGAACTTCAAAGAAGTTATGTTTCGTGAAATAAGTCAGACCTAGAAGAACAGATTTTATAATTCTCTTATATGAGGTGTCAAAAGTAGTCAGCCTAGCTAGATGCTGGTGGTCTATACCTGTAATCTTAGCTATTCAGGAGGCTGAGATCGGGAGGATCATGGTTTAAAGCCAGCCCAGACAGAAAAGTCTGTGAGACTTTGTCTGCATTAACTAGCAAAGATGCTAGGCTGGGGGCGTGGCTTAAGTGATAGAGCACCAGCCAGGAGCAAGGAAGTGAAGTGGATGTGAGGCCCCAAGTTCAAGTCCTAGTACTGGCCAACCCCCCCCCCCCCCCCCCCCGCCACACACATACACAAGCCAGATGAAGACAGAAAATAAAGCATGTTTTCCTAGAAGCTTGGGATAGAAGGATGAACATTCATCTTGCAATTATACAGAGTTGAGTTGTACAAGATGAAGAGTTCTGAAAATGGGTTGTATAATAATGTGAACGCAGGGGCTGGGAAGGTGGCTCAGCGGTAGAGTGCATGCCTTGCAAGCATGAGGCCCTGGGTTCGATTCCTCAGCACCACATAAGAAAAAAGCCAGAAGTGGCGCTGTGGCTCAAGTGGTAGAGCGCTAGCCTTGAGCTGAAGAGCTGGGGGACAGCGCCCAGGCCCAGAGTTCAGGCCCCACGACCGGCAAAAAAAAAAAAAAAAATATGAATGCACTTAGCTAACATATGCTTACAAAAGTAGTTGAGATGACATTTTACCATATTAAAAGAAATAAAAGTGAGTATGAAGTATGTCCCAAGTACAAGATAGTGTACCACTCACAGAGAGCGCTATGTGAGTAAAAGCAAACCTGGCCCCTGTCTCTGAAGGAATCTACAGACACGTGTTAAATGAAGTCATGGTAGGAGGGAGAGTGTTCAGAGATGTTCAGCGCATCCCGAGTGCCAGGACTTGGCCTGCTCAGTGAGACCATGCCCTGCCTAGAGCACAGGTGAGCAGTAGGGAGACGGCCCATCCAGGAAGAGAAACAGCATGAGGAAAGGCGGAAGTGTGGTGAAGTGGAGAGTGTGTGGCAAAAACAGGCGGTGAAGACCACCAGGCCTTCTTGTTCATGTGAAGGTGCTTTGTCTTTCTTTCTGGGCAGAAAGGAAGCCATTGTGCTAAAGATGGAGAAACAGAAGGAAGAATAAGTGTGTTTTTTGACAGAATCACATGTCCTGAAGGAACACTTTTTTCCTTATAAGAAAGAATCCTTCCAAATACTAAAATGCCCCCTCCCAGTACCAAAGCCTTGTACTCTTGCTCATGGCTGGTGTTCAACTACTTGAGCCATTTCTCCAGTCTAGCATTTTGCTTGTTGATTGGAGATAGTCTCCTGAACTTTTCTACTATGCTTGGCACCATAATCTTCCAGGTCTCTGCCTTCTGAGTAGCTAGGGTTATAGGCTTAGAGTTTTCATCTGAATTGAGTCTTTGCAACAAAAGTGTCAATGGAGATCTACAGGCTACAGACTTATGTCTAGATTGTATCATGGTATCAAACTATTATCAATGTGCTTCATGTATCTCCTCTGAAAAAAATGTCTTTATAAGAAAAATGTAAAAAAAAAAGCGTTTAACTATGGTTTTTATGTAACTATGAGTCATCAAAGTATTAGAACTAAGTTTGACTATAATTGTATGCTCCCAGGAGCTCTGTTGGGTCAATGAGATGGATGAGAATAAGATATTTATAACTAAATTATTTCCTATGGCATAATTTTTGCTTGCATTATGGCAAGATCTTCATGAAGTCCCAACTAGGATTTCTTTTAATGTAATAATGTAATTACATACTGTTGGGCATCTATTTTTATGTTATTTATTTTTCTTTATTTGTTGTAAAGATGATGAACCTGGCCAGGGGAGGGGGCGTTTACAGTTACTAAAGTAAGGTAATGAGTGCATTTCTTTTTAAACAGTTACCCCTCCCTCATCTTCTCCTGCCTTCCACTCCCCACTCTCCTCCCCCTCAAGTTGTAAAGTTCATTTCCAATGTAGTATCTAGTGAGTGTCATTGTTATAAAGTGCAGCTATTTACAGTACGCCCCTTGAGTCAGTTTAGTTCTGATATTGTTTCTCCTTCATTCTAACCGGAAGAAACTTCACTGTGTTGAGTACCCATCAGCCTGGACTGCTAATACAATCTTAACGCAATACTTAGCTTTGGAAGTGAGCCGTGATTAGGACATATGTTCAAATCATGGTCGTCAGTCATATTTATCACTGAGACTATGTGAAAATACTTTAATTCCACCACTGAATTCTTGACACCTTCACTGCAGTTTCTACTCCGTTTCCAAGCAGTATCTCAGTCTGAGAAAAGCGTGGTCCTGGTGCCGGATTTCCCCGCATGGAGAAGGGGTGGGAGGCCTTTCCTGGAGCTGGGGATGGCACTTCCCTGCAACCCAGACCTGAGGGAGCAGGCGCCAGGGCTTTGTCAGGTCCGCTCGCTAACCCGGCGCCGGCCGTGTACAGATGAATCCCGCCCCGGGTCCTTGCTCAGGTGTCCTTTTGAAATTGTGCTGGCTGCTGTGCTTTATGGGTCTGTTTGTTTTCTTATTTGCAGGAACTGGTGAGAGTGGGAAAAGCACCTTTATCAAGCAAATGAGAATTATCCATGGGTCTGGTTACAGCGATGAGGACAGGAAGGGCTTCACGAAGCTGGTCTACCAAAACATCTTCACTGCCATGCAGGCCATGATCAGAGCGATGGACACCCTGAGAATACAATACGCGTGCGCGCAGAATAAGGTAAGGCTCACAGGGACTGGCTCTGTCTGTGAATGTGCCCCTTCCCATGAGGGTCGGTGGTCAGGAGATAGCGAAGGCTTTGGTCATATGCCAGAAACTCTTGAGCTCAGCTTCTGGGATGGAGGTAGCTGAGCGGAGTGTGATGGATTTAGAGTCCAGAGGCCATAGTTCTGGGAGCACAGTCTGGCTGCCGTGTGACAAGCAGAGAATTAAAAGCTTGGGCGGTGATGACGGAGGTTGATTATTTTAGGCACTAGAAAAGGAAGACCCCGTTGATTTCTTTACTGAAACAGTGATTTATAGTGGCCAGCTCCTGAAGAGTTTCCAGTCATAGGAAACATATCCATGAACGCACCGTAGATCACTTGGTGAAATCTGGGTGATTGGGTTTTTTGTGTTGGGAGCTGGCCCTTCTTGGAAACTAAGCGATCGCTCCCAAAAGCAATCTATTTGATGTCCCTGCGAGCAAAGTGTTGGCATGAAGTGAGAGCTGGTGTGAGGTTGGCATTTGTTTTCCCATTACTCCCGGTTGTTTACAATAGGATATCAGAATGCAAACGCACAGGAAAATAGGATTGTCTGATTTTATTAAGAATCTAGATGAGGGCTGGATATGGTGGCACATGCCTGTAATCCCAGAACTTTGAAGGCTGGAGGTAGGGGAATTGAAAGTTTGAAGCTATCCTGGACTACATAGCAAGACACAGTCTGACAGAGCGGGTGGAGAGAGAGTTTACTTAAAACGATCAATACCAAGTCATGAAGGTAAACAGAAAACCTCTGTATCAAATAGGTCTGTTGAGAATCTATTTTAAAAAATGGTGCTGTCAAGAGTGTGTTTTCAGGGCTGGGAAGGTGGCTCCGTGGTAGAGCGCTTGCCTAGCATGCATGAGGCCCTGGGTTCGATTCCTCAGTACCACATACACAGAAAAAGCCAGAAGTGGTGCTGTGGCTCAAGTGGTAGAGTGCTAGCCTTCAGCTGAAGAGCTGAGAGACATTGTCCAGACCCAGAGTTCAAGCCCCACTACTGACAAAAAAAAAAGTACTTTTGCTGAAGTCTGTAATCCTGGGAGGCAGAGATTTGGGGATCATAGCTCAAGACCAGCCCTGGCATAAAAGTTTTCGAGGCTTTATCTCAACCAGTGGCTGGGCACAGTGGTAGCTGCCTGTTTTCCCAGCTGTGGGGTAAACAGGTTGGGCTAGCGGTGCGTTTGGCATCTCCAGTGAGATGGGGAAATACAAGTAGGAGGGCCATGCAGGCCCATGGAGGCCAGGACACAAAGGAAGGTCCTATCTGGAAAATAATAAACACAGAAAAGGCCTACAGGGAGCTCAGACGCTTCAGCGCCAGCATGGCAAGCATGAGGACCTGCGTTCAACCCCTTGACTGCCAGAATAAACAACAGTCCTATCAATAATGATAATAGTACTAATAATAGCAACTATTATTATTTTGCTGCTAGAATACCAGAATTGGGATGGGCTTCCATATAGACAACCTTACATGAATTGTGGTGTCATACTCATATATATACATATACACACATATGTATACACACATATACACATATACATATATATAATGACAAAGTTTCAAAGCAGTCAGATAATTAAACCTTTCTATTTCTCAGGGACTAGCAAGTATAGACCCGTTTTAGACATACCTTGACATTCTGTCTACCACTTCCCACCACTTCCTCTTGTCTCCAGGGCATGTCTTGCCTACAGTTTCAACCTTGAGCAACATTAGGCTGAGAAGTGTGTGTGGACAGTATTTCCTCTGGTGTCAAGAATTTTCACGTGAGTGGTGGATCAATACTGGGCCAGGGAGCGATTCTAGAAGCCGTGGTGACGGCCTGCTCACCCACTGCCTTTTGAGTCCATGCATGCTCCTTTTGCATTAAATGTTTGTATTGTTATTATGAAGGTGATGTACAGAAGGGTTAGTGTTTCCTAAGTCGGGGTAAACAGTACATTTCTTTTGGGGGCAGTGTCACCCCCTTCCCTGGCTCTCTCCCAGTTTTTCCCTCCCGTCCCCACCCACAAGTTATATGGCTCATTTTCAAACATAGTGTCCAGTGAGGACCACTGCTGCATTTGCTCACCCTTTGCCCCTCCATTTCTGTCCTCCCCTCTTTTCCTGAAGAGAGCTGTATGAACAAGCAAGACAAAAAGAAACTCTGATGTCCGTTTCTTGGTGTTCATTCTGATAAACATTACATGATCAGATGCACATAGGCATTGTGCTTTTGTATTCCTCTCCGAAGAGTAAGTATCCTCCTTTGTTCTGTGTGTGTGTGAATGCCTAGTCCTATATATCATGCATCATGTTCCGATGCATCTCAGATCTGGCTTCCCATGCATGCTCCTTCTTGACAGCTACGGTTCATCTTTCCTCCTGCTATGTAACAGAATGTGAGATGAGACTTTCTGGGGAGATGGCTTATAGGAACAGCATGGAGACTTCAGCTCATCACCTCCGCTGTTGTAGGATGTATTTCGTTTACCGCGCACAGTGGGGTGACCTGGGAAGTGTGGAATCCAGGGATGGATTTGTAAACAGAACTATTTATTAAGAAGGAGCCCAAATGTGTGAACCGGTTCTGCTCACCAGCTTTGCTCATCAAGGCCTTGGGGTTTCTGTTTTTGTTTTGTTTTCCTTGTTGGTCTTCTGGAGGTTCACTGCATTTATTGATAAGCTTTGACACTTCACCGCTTTCTCCTTCTTGGTCCATTCTAGAGCTTTTAAATAATTATATTTTATCTTTCAGTGGTCGTACTAAGGGATTCACCACTCAACACGCTAGTTCATACGTGCGCTGCATCTTGGTGACTTTCACTCTTTTTTTTGTCAGTAGTGGGACTTAAACTCGGCCTGGGTGCTGTCCCTGAGTTCTTTCGCTCCAGGCTAGTGTGCTTTGCCTCTTGAGCCACAGCGCCACTTCTGGTTTTCTGGTGGTTAGTTGGAGGTAAGAGTCTCATAGACTTTCCTTCCTAGGCTCCATCCTCAGATCTCAGCCTCTAAGTAACTAGGATTATAGGCGCGAGCCACCAGTGCCTGGCCACTAACACTTTTTTATCCCCTTAAAGCTTTTATAAAAGGCATCTCTAAGGTGTCTACATACCTGCACTAGTTCCCTAGCACTGCTGTAGCAAAGTACCTCAAACTGGAGGACTTAACTATGTATATAGTTTTTTTTGCCCATCATTCTTTCCTCTGGAAGTCCAAAATCAAAGTTGACTGGTGCCAATAAGGAGGCATTGAGAGACAAGTGCACTTCCGGCTTGTGTCTTTGGTTCTGATCGTTGCTAGGAATCCCTGGCAGCTGCTTCTTTTACACCAGTCACTCCAGTGTCTTCACCTGCCGTGTTCCTCTCGGTGGGTCTGTGTTCATACGGCCTTGTCCGTCATCAAATAAGGACACCTGTCATTAGATTAGGACCCATACTAATCCAGGGTGACTCAGCTCAGCTCAATCACAGCTGCAAAGACCCTGCCTCCAAGTAATGCTTCATCCCAAAGTTCTGAGTGCCCATGATTTGATGGGCACTACTCTTGGACTTGGTTAGTCTGTCCCGGGGTTCACATCTGCCCCGACCGCAAATATGACTCCATCCGAGCCCCCTTGAATGACTGCGCTCCTTTCAGCATCAACTCTTTAAGTTCCAAACCCAAACTAAGCATCAGTCAAAAACTTGCCAGTTACATTGGTTAGGCAGGAGTGGGCCTGTCCTTTGGGGGGCAGGATTCTTCTCTGTGCACAACCTAGCAAGCCAGGAAACAGATCAGTTGTCATCACCTCCTCCCCTTTCTCCTCCTCTTCCTCCCTCCCCCACCCCCCACCAGCCCTCATCATCCCTGGCTCCATTCTCCATTTCAACGTGGAGAGTCACGCTCCAAGCCTCTTTCTGACACGCAGCAGGTGGCTGGTGATTGGGGGAGAGGTAGATAGTTGAAGGGAGAGAAAATAAGATTGGCTTGGAAAAATCTGAGCCCTGGTCATGCTTCCTCTGTGGATCTAGGGTAGAAATTGAAAATGTGTGTTTAAATCCCAAGCCCAAAGTCCAGGAATCCCACGTTAGTCTGGTCACTCACATCCCCCCCAGGTCAAATGGAGGCCAAATGGTGAAGGGCAGAGAAGGAGAATTTGTTATGAGGCAGCCCATCAGTACATGTTCAGCCATCTTCAGGGTATTGTGGACATTGGGGCCGGTGCTGAGAAAGGAATGCCGCAGAGTTAGAACAGTTTTAAGTCACAGGTGTGGCCGAGGTGACTGTTAGCTCAGCGTTGGTCTCTGAAGGCTGGCGTGCGGTCTGGCTTCTGGCGGTTCTCTTCTGGGGGAGGGGTTTGCCTTTTGCCACAAGATGCTCATTGGTGAGAGACCTGTTCTTCCTGGATTGTCCATTGGCTCCAACAGGGAGTGATGCAGAATGAAGAATGCAGATGCGAAGTGGATGGGTAGCCGCAGGGTGCCCAGTGGTTACTTGATTCATAGGCCCAGGAAAAGCATCTTTGCTGTTGCCTCTTACAGAATCAGCAAACTGTTTCTATAGCAGGCCAGGCCAAGAGATGAAAGATTTCTGGTCCTGTAGCCCTTCGGCCCCTGTAGCATGGAAAGCAACCATAAGCGATAATGTAATAACTACAAATGAGCATGGCTCACTAAATTCTATTTACCAAGTATAACACTATTTCTACCTCATTGGCCAGAGAAAAGTTCATTCGGGCAACAGTGGGTTTCTGTGGATTGCTTGCTCATCTGTTGGAGGCAGACAACACATATGCTTGCTACTTCTTGAGCCAATCAAATGGCACCCCAAAAATACAAAGGTAGTGTTGGTTCACAAATAAAAAACAGACTTATTATTTCTTCTGCTCCTAGTTACTTTGATCCATCCCTTCCCTACTTGTTTTCTGTGGCTGTTCTAATAATGTTTATGTGGGCTGGTTCTAATTGCCAATATAAAACTGTAACAAAGTACCATGCTTAGTTCATAC